TAGTTGACTCAACAGAAGCCACAGACATGAGGAATGTTGGACCTGTCTGCAGATGGGTGTGGCCTGTGTGGTGTTGAAAACAATTTTTGAATCACACAACACATTTAAAAATCAGGAAATCATGAGTATTTACATAAAAATCAGAATCCCCGAAGTCTGTTTTTCTCTCTTCTCTATTTTATATTCTTTGTCAAAAAGAAACTCTGCTCAATATGTTCACTAAACTCATCGAAACAGTTCAATAGCAAAACCAATGAGTTTTAAATTGTCTTATTTTATCTTTAAACAATTTTTAATTTTTAATTGACATAGTAATCATCCATATTTACAGGGCACATTGTTTTAATACATTATTTCAATACATGTATACAATGTCCAGTGATCAGTTCAGGGTAATTGGCATATCTGTCACCTCCAATATTTATCATTTCTTTTATTGGAAGTATTCAAGATCCTCTCCACTAGCTATTGTGAAACATTCAATTAATTATTGTCCTTGCTAGTTATCCTTTTTCATATGACATTAAAGTTACTCCTGCGTCCCTGCACCCATTAACTATTCTTTTTCCATTCATCCCTCTTCTACACCCTTCTCAGGATCTGGTAATGATTATTCTGTTCTGTACTTACTTTGAGATCAACCTTTTAGCTTCCACATGAGAATGAGAACATGAAATATGTGACTTTCTGTGCTTTATTTCACTTAATATCCTCCAAGTTCTAAGTTGCTACAAATAATAGGATTTCATCCTTGTATGGCTAATATTCCATTGTGTATTTATAACACTTTTTCTCTATCCATTTGTTTCCCAAGGGACATCTAGGCTGATTCCACATACTGTGAATAGTGTGCTACAATAAAACATGGCAGTGCAGATGTCTCTTCAACCCTGATTTCATTTCCTTTGGACATATGCCCATTGGTGGGATATTTGGGTCATAAGGTAGATCTATTTTAGATTTTTGAGGATCTTCCTTACTATTTTCCACAATGGTTGTACTAATTTCTGTTCTCACCCATAGAGAATTCTTTTTTTTCTCCTCTGTATCCTCACCTAGCATCTCTTGATAAACTCTATAATGTGGTAGTGTGTGATCTCCTTTTCTGAACCAGCAGTTGAAATTTTAGCAGATGCTGGTGTTTGCTCTTCACCCTTCTATCCAGTTCACCCTTTCCTCTTGTACACCTGGCCACTTATTTCCATTACCTTCTCAGTCTGTCTACACATTTGACTTATAAACTGAAGCACAACTGAAAAGGCAGGAGGAGGAATACAAGATGGGAGCATCTTCTTGAAATAACCTTCCTATTCCCAATAGCCAAGACTTTGAATTGACCTAAATGTCCATCAACACTTAGATGGATGAAGAAAATATGGTGTGTGTATACACAATGGACTAATATTTAGCCATAAAGAAGGATGAAATTGTCATTTGTGGCAGCATAAATGAAGCTATAAGACATTAAGTGAAATAAGCCAGGTGCAGAAAGACAAATTACCCATGATTCCACTTGTATATGGAATCTAAAGAAGCTGATCTTACAGGAGACAGTAGAATAAGAGTGGGGGTTGGAAAGTAATTAATTAAATTATAGGTAAATGGGAAGAATACACTGGATTTCTATTGCCCAGCAGAATGACTATACAATATTGTTATATTGTATTGAATATTTCAAAATGGCTAGGGAGACAAGGATTTTCAATGTTTTCACCACAAAGTGTTAAATGTATGTGAAGATGTATTAAAAACTCTGAATTGATAATTATTCAGTGTGTATATGTGTATATTTATATACACATATATGTATGCATACAAAAACTCATAATAGCACTGTATCCATAAATAGGAAGCACTATGTGTTAACTAATAACAAAAAACCCTTCCTGACCTCCCACCGATTTAGAATTCCCTTTGCAAACTTGTCATTTGACTATAAAGTTAAGAATGCTTGGAGTGTGAAGGCAGGACTGAGACAGGAAAAGGAAGGCAAAAGTGGCTCCTTTTTTTTCAAAGAAGTGCCACAAATGCAGTGGCACCCAGCTCTATTTGGGAGACTGCTCAGGATTGCTTCTTGTCCTTAGAGAACACGGAAGCTTCCCCATATATGACACCTAGATTCCAGATTTTAGAAAAGATGAGTTGTAACAAATATCCTTATAGGATTTAGATACTACTTGTTTAGATATTGTGACTATAATGAAAAAAGAAGCAAGCTAAGGGATGCAGCTACCAATTCCCCAGCACCTACCTTTTTAGAGCCCACTCACTCCATCCTGTTGTTTTCATACAGATTTAATACAATTCTCCCACAATGTTGGTCTTGCTATTCAATTTTATGGATAGAAAACAGGGGTGAAGAGAAGAGGTCTGATTAGGACACACCAGAGATGTAATAAAAGTGAGTTTTAACACAAAGTGTGCCTGCTATAACATCAGTGACCTTTTTTAACAGAAGATCTAATTTGATATCCTATTTAAAAAAAACATGATTTCAAGCAGCACATTATAAAGATGATATATATGTATATATAAAATAAAATACATATATAAAATGCCACCATTGTATTTAACTAATATATCATTGAACAGGGTGTTTTCCAGTGGTACAGATGTTCTACCTGCCTTTGGGCTAGGATCTTCTCACAGGTAGCTACTGAGGGACCCCTTCTAAGAATTTGTGACAATTTTCCATTTACTTTGCACTATTAACTTTTAAAAGATGTTTTCCAATCAGAAACTCTTTCCTAAGATGGTGTGAAAGTATTGACAATTACCTCTTAAGCCATTTATTATTTATATGAGGGAGCTCTAAGAACATTTAATCAGAAAACCTGACTCCAGTGTGGAATGAAGTGTTGACCAGCAGAATTTTCCTTGAGGAATTTACACTTCATCTGTAATCTAAAAGGTAAGTAGGACTTGGCTGAGTAGGAGGTGAGCAAAGGGCTCTACGAACAGGGAACATACTTGTCCTGAAAGGGAGATACTCTCTAGAGGGAGATGATTCCTTAGGCTTCTTCTGGCATTTCATTAAGATTCCCCAGTATCCATAAATTTAATCTCTTCTCTATATATCATCCCACTCTAAGTTCCTATTTTGAAAACCCCACTTTTCCATTATGAATCTCTCGATTTAAACATCCATACAATAGCCACCATTAAGTGCCCGCTTTTCTAGGCATTTAACATGCACCCTTCATTTCGCACAGTCTTCACAGGGCTCAGCAAAACGGGGAAAACTGAGACCCACGGCCACATTAATGGTAAGAGTGAAGCTTCAAATGCTGGTCCATTTAACTACAAATACTAGACATCTTTCCAGTTGACCTGTCCTTGTCAAATTCAGGTAATGGTGGCATTATGCCAGGGATTTTTCTTCATCACATAGTATACGTAATTTATTAGTATCAACGTTACGCAAAGGTTGTGGCAGAAGAACTGTGATCTTTATAATTCCTTCCCTCCATTTAACCATTGTGGTTATAAGGCAAACAATAAACCATAGGGACATTTCACAGGGTGTGGGGCCCAGACATAAGTATCTTTTGAAGCTCCCTGGGTTGGCTGCATAGGCAACAATGCTGAGAATCCATTGGGACCTGATCTGGCTTGTAATATCTCTCACTGCATCTCCTATTACCATTGCCTTGACCAGTCACACTGGTTTTGCTTTATCAACAAGCCGAGCATACCTTTCCTCTAGCAGGCCAGGCCCCTCTGAAACATCTGGGCCCTATATACATCCATTTGTCTAACCATTCTTTTTTTTATTTTTAAAAATTTATGACAGCAGAATGCATTACAATTCATATTACATATTACACATATAGGGCACAAATTTTTCGTATCTCTGGTTGTATACAAAGTATATTCACACCAATTGGTGTCTTCATATATATATGTACTTTGGATAATGATGTCCATCACATTCCACAATCATTTCTAACCCCATGCCTCCTCCCTTCCCCTCTGCCCTATCTATTCCTCCCATTCTCCCCCCTCCTACCCCACTATGAATCAGCCTTTCTGTATCAGAGAAAACATTCTGCATTTGTTTTATTGGGATTGGCTAATAGTATTCTCTAACTCCATCCATTTACCTGCAAATGCCATGTTTTTATTCTTTTATTGCTGAGTAATATTCTATTGTGTATATATGTCACTTTTTTTAATCCATTCATCTGCTGAAGGGCATCTACATTGGTTCCACAGCTATTGTGAATTGTGCTGCTATAAACATAGATGTGGCTGTGTCCCTGTAGTATGCTGTTTTTAATTCCTCTGGGTATAGACCAAGGAGAGGGATAACTGGGTCAAATGGTGGTTCCATTGCTACTTCTCAGAAGGTGATATACAATCAATCAACAAATATCTGAAAAAATGCTCATCATCACTAGCAATTAGAGAAACACAAATCAAAAAAACTCTTTTTAAGATTTCATCTCACTCGAGTCAGAACTGCAGCTATTATGAAGACAATAAATGTTGGCAAGGATGTGGGGAAAAAGGTACACTCATACATTGCTAGTGGGACTGCAAACTGGTACAGCCAATATGGAAAGAGATATGGAGATTCCTTGTCTAACCATTCTTCAAGTCTTTGCTTAGAACCTCACCTTTGCTAAGTAGCCTTCCCTGATCATCCTAGTAATACTGAACACTATTCTAGATTTCTGACTTAAGTTGTTATTTATCTCCATGCCAGGATGTAAACTCTTTGAAGGCAGAGAACCTTGTGTATTTATGGATTCTAAATACCCTGCCAAGATTTAGAATTGCCATAAGACTGTATACACTTTTAATGCCATAGGAGAGCTGTGTGGTCTGATATAGTAGCCAGTAGTCAATCACGTGTAGCTACTGACCTTTCAAAACCCACTTAATTTGCATGAGAAATTATTCTAGATAAGATGAACAATACGGCATTTGGTCATGTTAACTTTTTTAGACAATGTTTTCCTGGGAAACCAAATGAACTAAATAACTGAATACTCCAATTTACAGCTTATGACACAACTTTTATTAGAAAAGTTATACATAACATAGCATCAACTATTTTCAAGAACAATATTAAACCCGATAAGCAACAAAAACCAGACTAACAAAATGTGTAACAAGAAACTAATGACCTTTCTATAATCAAACATTCAATTATCTACAATGTCTTTTTACAGAGGGGGAAAAATCCATGGTTTACAGGCACATTATATTGAAAATAAAACGGCAATAGCAATTTTATACAATTACCATTCTCAAGAAACTGAATCATTAAAACAGTAATTACGAGTTTACAAATTTAAAACATTTCACATAATTTTAAATTACTGGGTATACACTGAAGTCTGAGTTTTGAAAGTGAGTCTTTTTTTCCCACAAAAGTGCCAACACTTAAACTAGAACTTTCAGTGTAATTTTTCCCTAAAAAGTTAAGACAAGTTTTGATAATCATAATAGTCACATAATTTCTGGTACTATCTGGTCTGTTAATATTAAAGCCTTTATTTGAATGCTTTTCTTCATTTAAATTATAGGAAACCGGATATAGGATTTCAGTTGCAAAGCTATTAAAAGTTCCAACACAGGAGTGTGCAGCATTGGAAAAAGAGATCAGTACTAACATTTATAATAAATATCAGAGAAGCCATTAGTTTTTACAGCATTGTCTGCTTAAAGGTTAAGTCAATCTGGTGTATAATTTCCCATCAGTCTGCCCTTTTAGTAGGGAGGGGAATTTCTATTTTCATGATCTGAACACTCAAATATATCCAACCACATTTTAAAACTCTGATTTATAGCTCCTGGAAGTCACAAATGTTTTTAATAGTCATTCCATTTTAATAAGTCTATTTCTGTTCATTTTGGAGCTGCACTAAAACAACAGAACTCAGGACAGCAAAGTTCTTCATAAAGACTCAGATGGAATGATTTACAAAGTAGACTGCTTTAAACCAAGCCAGTCCTCTTGTTGTAGCTGACGGGGATCAGTCACAACACAAATTCACATACATTTGCTCATTATGGAATTATGCTTTCAAGAAGATGATCTCTGATGCAGGTACCACTGCTAAGTACAGTGTTTAACCAGATTGCCAGTTTTACTGATGAGAAGACATTTTCTTTCCTGTCAGAGACATTATACCATAGTTCTTAATTAAACTGTCAGGCATTTTCCTAGACAGGTTTTCCTTTTCAACACAGTGATGGAGAACTAAGATAAAAATATGACTTGTCGACAGTTATTCAACATTATTACATGCACCAATATTGCACACATCTGTCCTGAACTGTTAAAATAATCTTCTGGGTCCTTGGGGGTGCTCTTTTCTCCATCAGAACACAAATACAACTCATATAAGCAATTTCCCTTAAAGATGAAATGGACATATTTAAAATACTGGGGAAAAAAATGAAGAAAAAAAAGGTAGAGATTTTGGATAGACAAGAACCTAAAATTTTTCTTAAAGGGTTTTTTTGTGTGCCCTACACATGGGGGCAATTTGTATGTACTAGTGAATGAACACTAGCTATAATGCTTCTAGCTCTTCAAATAATATGGAACCTTGGTCCAGGTGTTGCAATGATGTCACTGTATGGTTCTTCCTGTGTCAGCTCAATAGCTTGCTGCTTTTTGAGAACCAAGAAGCTGTAGAACTTTGCTGCAGCCTGTTTTCTGTTTGTGTTTCGACATAATTCAAGCAAACTGATGGATTCAGCTCCAGTTTTGGCAAGAGCTCGCTGAAATAAAACAACAAAAGTGAATTGAAGTAACACACACTATATAGTAGTCATTTAAAAAGGATGCCAATTTTGGTACTGGAAAAAGTGTTGTTCTTTTGGGGGCTAGGGTTGGAAAGGTATGTGAGTGATTCTCATGTTAAGCTGGAAAGTAAAGGGCGAAAACATATAGTACTGTTAAACTCAAAAGCCCAAGGAACAAAGTTGGCCCAGTATATATTATTAAAATAATGTTTTTATTTCGACATCTAATATGGTAATAACAGTAAAATCTAGTACTTAAAAAGTGAGAAAATAGTTTTAAATGTCGGCCTTTAAAAAAAAAATCTATTCTAGGAAATTATAAGCAACACACATGGTATTTCATAGATGCTCAAAACGTCTTATCTGTACCTGGTACATTTAAGTCCCAATGGCAATTGACATTGTGACATCTAATGCCACAAAATGGGAAAATATTCTTCTGAATACTTTCCAGGCTTACTCTTGGCCCAACAATTTGTTTTTAACGAAAATATTTTAAATAATGAGGTTCTCAAAAAAGGTTCACAAAGCTAAGTTTTCTGGTTATAACATGAAACTTTATTTTTGAAGGAACAATGCTAAAAGTATTTGATACAGAATTTTCTTCTAAAATGACATTGGCATACCTGAAGACCATGAAGCATCTGCTGAGTCCTTTTGTTCCATCTCCTTTCTTCTTGATCCTGATCACCCCCTGAAGCATCTTCATCCTGAATGAAAATAACCACCCAAAAAGCTAACAACACTGCTCTGCTGAAAAAGGAATTATTTCCATAGCTCCTGGATGATCTTAAGTTAACTTGGACCATGTAATCTAACAGAAAACTCTACTAGATGCTAAAAAAAAAAAAAAAAAAAAATCACTTGGCACTAGTATCAACTTTGAAGTTTGTCTACTTAAGTTACAAAAGAAAGCCCTCTGTATGTGCAGGCAAACATTTAGCTGAATATAAGGTTTTATATTGCTCATGAGGGTGTGGTGTACTGCAGTGTGGTCCATAGACTGCTGCAGGTCATCGGTTTTTGGTTATTGGTACTCCTGTCAAGGAACTTTGGTAATGATATAAATCAACTATGCCATTAACTAGGACATTTATTTCAAGTAAATGTGTGAAATGTGTGTGTGTGTGTGTGTGTGTGTTTGTATTTGGTAGCATAATTCTAGGTGATTTATATTCTGGCATTTTACCATCATACTATCATGGACCAATACCAAAGGACCTGCAGACTGCTGAGTAATTAGTATTGATCTATATGGTGTATTAAAAAATGATCTACAATCCTTATTATGTTTTACTTTAAGACTGATGTCTAGCCAGGCGTGGTGGTATACAACTGTAATCTTAGCAACTTGGAGGCTGAGGTAGAAGGATTGCAAGTTCAAGCCCAGCCTCAGCAACTCAGCAAGACCCTGTCTCAAAATAAAAAAAAAAAAAATTACAAAGGGATGGGGATGTAGCTTTAGTGGTTGAACACCCTTGGGTTCAGTCTTCAATTAAAAAAAAGTCTGCTGCCTAAACAACTTCTTGAATTCATTCTAAAGTTGGTGTGAATGTGGGGAAGCAGTTGTGATATTCTCTGGGTACTTTAGCACATAGGCTGGAGTAGCTATGAAACTAAATTTTGGCTTTAAAATAATGTATTTATATTAAAGATAAGCATAACTGCTATGACTGACATAATGATAAATTATAAATATAAATAAATACCAGTAAAGCCATATTCAATCCATAAACCATTTGTCTTGGAAGAAATTTTTTGAATAGTTTCAATGCTACCTGAAAAACGTCTTAAACTTAACATTTAAGGAAATTAAATTCTAAAGTACCTGTTTTTTAAAACATAAAAGTTCCCTAAAATCTTTATTCAGACTACTTTAGCTGAGTCATTTCCTGCCCTGATCTATTTAAAATAAAATAAAAACACAGCCAAATGGAAGATGTTTGGTTATTTAATTTCTAGGCCACAGACAGAGAAGAGGTTATACCAGAGGCAGATGATAACAGAAGAAAGAATTGACCACTGATCACAAGAAAATGAAAAGCAACTGACAAGCAATTTAGAAGTCAAGCAAGAAGTCAGTGTAGGGACAGTCCATGTCCTTCAAAAGCCCATGAGGGAGCCCATGAATTATAGCACATCAGAACATTTGATATACCTAATGATAAATCTATGCCACTAAGAATTTGTTAGTTGAATTCTGACTCTATTTTTCATCACTTTGATGCCCACTATATGAATTGAAGACAAAATATACAAGAAGGTGAAGACTTTTGCTAAATTTGGAATGAATGGGAATTTATACACCAGATATCTCTTTTATAATTTTCTTACCTCTTCCTCTTCATCATCCTCTTTCTCCTTCTCTTTCTCCTTTTCTTTTTCTGGCAGAAGTTCTAACTCTGGTATTAGCTGACAAATATTTGGAGGTTCTTCTGGGGGCAGCTCTACAGGTGGTATTTCCATCTGTTCTACCTGCTGTGGCTTAAAGCAATAAAACATTAAGGCATTTTAAGATACACATTTTAAGAATAGCATTTTAAAACATTCAAATATAGTTAAGGTTTTCCAGATGGAAAGATTATATCTCCCCACTTTCCTACTATCAAAATTGATCTGCTTCTTTAAAATTACAAAGTGACAACATTAAATTAGCTTTAAAAAGAAATTAGCCTTTACCCTAAAATGCAAGTGTTTATTTTTTGTACTTTTTAGGAGTCATGGTTAAAAAGTCTATATGAGAAATTTAAAGCCAAGAAAAAATCATAGGCGTTAAAAATAAAATAAAGCAAAACCCATTTTCCAAAAAACCACATATGGACTCCATGGCAAAATAAAAAGTTAATTATCCCAGGACTATCAAAGGTTACTGCATGAAATCCTTAATGGTAGCAGACAGCAATAAGGAGACCTTTTCTGGGTCTGTTTCCTGTATTTCCTTCCTTTTAGGCTTACTGTAAAAGCTGAGAAACATTAAAAACAAAGTCTTTAAGAAACCAAAGAACTATCAGAAGGACAGTGATACTAGAGTCACATACCCACTACTGAGCTCATTCTGAGCTCCCATTCTGAGCTCATAAAACTGGCAGTTTCTACTACCAATACCTCTTAATGGAGGCTGAACTAGGAATCCAAGGTTACCAAAAAAGGACCCCTTTACTCAATTTATCCTATAACTTGAGAAGCCTAAATCAGACCCCTCTATACTTTGTTTTCCTGTCCTAACTGAACTTAATGGTAGCTAAGTATGAATGAAGTTGCCAGTTGCTTTAATTTTTTTGGAAAACTATATGCTGATAACTTAATAAGACACCTTAAAACTGCCCAGTATTGGGAGACTGCCAGGAAATGTTTGCTGAAGAATAAACCAGAATCAAAGTTCAGAGTCAAGGATTCCACACTGGCCAAGGTTTTGCTCACTTTGGACCTCTTTGAAGCAAGACTATTCAAAAGGAGTCAGGCAGATTCTGTAGACTCCCAGAACATCTTCTCCCACTTAAGGCAGACTACATTCATATCTTCAGCTCCCATCCCTTTCCATTTTCTGTCTAACCCAAGATAATTCAAAAGGACTCCTTAAATACCACTTGCTATGGACTATAAACATCTTCTAATGATGTGCTTACTTACAGGTATCACAGGCTCTGGATCAACTTGTCCAGCTTTTCGCTTAACCCCCTGAGGTGGTGGTGGGGGCATGGCCGACTCATCCAGGTTTGTTCTGCTGGCCTCCATCACTGACTCTTGGAGGCGGCTGGGCTCCTCCAAAATAGGCTCATCTGCAATTAATCATATGAAAAGACTTAAGCCATATAGTTCTGAATAGCATTTTGAGTAATTTACTTTCAAAATTGGTACACTTAGGCACAGGCATAGTTACTCTCAAATTAAGATAGCAGAGGTAAACTTTTCTCTGCTTAAGACTACTTAGTTTATAACATATATGTAAGGGGGGAAAAGGTCTTAAAAATCCAAATCTCAGTCCTGAGGACAATCCTTTAGCAGACAATCAAGTCAATTCAGACAAGTCATAACCCTTACACCTTTCTGAACCCAAAGCTTCATATCTAATAAGGTAAATGAGATCCAGTGCACTTCCTGTTCAAAAAATAAAGGTAAATTCTGGCATTTAAATTTCTGAGAACTATCCCAAAAGAACAGACCAATAACATCTCGCTGTTGATGCTGCTGCTGCTGGTCCTCTCTAGGAACCTCTGGATTTTCAAATTCTTTGAGGAACTCATCCAAATTATCTGCCTCTCCTCCTTTTCTCCTTTTTCTAAGATCTTCTGGTACAAGTGGTGTAAGACAGCGTGTAAAGAGCTATAAAAGAAAGAAAAAGTAAATATAAAATAAATCACACCAATGAAAACAGATTGACATTTCTAATATTCATTAATGCTTTAATAGTTGTAATCAGTATGCCATACCATTTTTTTTTACCTAGCATTATATTTACACTCTAGTCTACCTTAAAATGACTCCAACGTCAGTTCTCAAATTGTCAACTAAAGCATTCTTCAGAAAAACTGAAAGTAATTTATCCGCTCCCACCCCTTGAGGTTTTAAATTTAAATATTTGTCTATAGTTTATTTTCACATTCATAAAGTGAAAATTCAATCCAACTTTTACCATAATAGTTTTCCATTATGCTTTTCACTTAACATATAGAATAATCTTAACTATCATTTAACTATTTTTAATGGTTATAATATTCCTGTGTTTGTGTGAGAGAGGATGTTTCTACCTGAAGAATACTATTTCATATTTACTGTATTAATATTTTAGGTGACGAACACCTGTAATCCCAGCGGATTGGGTGGCTGAGGCAGGAGAATTCCAAGTTCAAAGCCAGCCTCAGCAACTTAGCAAGGCCCTAAGTAACTCAGTGAGAACCTGTCTCTAAATAAAATATAAATAAGAGCTGGGGATGTGGGTTCAGTGATTACCCCTGGGGTTCAGTTCCTGGTACCAAAAAAGGTTTTACCATAAATTTCCTACACTGGAGTATTTTATAGACTCAATCCCAGTGACTTGGGAAACTGAGGCAGTAGGATCACAAGTTCAAGGTCAGTCTCAGAAACTTGGTAAGAACAGCAACCTAGCAAGACCATGTCTCAAAAAGGACTATGGATATAGCTCAGTGGTAAAGCACCTCTGGGTTCAAGGCCCAGAATCACTAAAAAACAAAAACTTTATTTTGGAAAGAGCTTGAAATCAGCAGAGGCAGAGAATATTATATTGGTTAGGAAAAAAAAATTCTCTTAAAGTCAAAACTTTCTACTGTAGCAAAAATTAGAACTATCTCATGGTTTACTCAGAAAATAAAGAATGCAGACTTAGGCACAATACAAATTAAGGCATTATAACTAACAGTTTCTTTTAGGAAGCTGAAAAGAGAACTATTATTAAAAATGTCAGTGGCTTTTTCATATCAGAAACATTCTATATCTATCTTTTAGAAATGCTGGTGTCACTCATCACTATTTCAGATGAGGTCATGGTCAGTATATTGTGATTTATGGATGAAAATCAAGAAAGATGCCATGTTGTTGAAAAATATTTGATCAAAAATGATTCAGAGGTTTAAAACATTTTTTAAAAAAATATTTATCTGTTAGTTTTAGGTAGACACAATATCTTTATTTTATTTTTATGTGGTGCTGAGAATCAAATTCAAACCCAGTGCTTCACGCATGCTAGGCAAGCACGCTACCACTTGAGCCACATCCCCAGCTCTAAAATATTTTCTCCCTAAAAAAAAAAAAAAAAAACCCCAGCAGAAAATATATATAAATAAAAAATTCCATATTACCTTCAGTAGTCTGTTATTCCATAAAGGCTGAGCAGGTAAAGAGAAAAGTTTTTCCACTCCTCCTGTTTCTTTCCACATCATCAATTTCTTGGTAGGTGGTGCCAGATCCAAAGTAGTAACAATATCAGAATAATCACTAAGTTGGGCTCTAATTGTCTTGCTATCCAACTCTTTGACACTGTCAACAATTAGCTTCCTCTTCCTCTTGGCTTTTGTTTCTTTGACTAGAATAAAATATAGTCATTTTCTTCAGAGGCAAGGATAGAATACACCGCAACTAGACTTGGCATGACTATATCCTTCTTTTCTATGCACAGGGCCCTCGTAGGAAAATTAAGCCTCATGAAGGCAAATGTTTTAACTAAGATTCTCTAAGCACTATTTAGAACAAAGGATGGCATATACTAGGTGTTCAATAAAATCCTGCTGAATGAAAATAATATGCACTGAGTTTTAGCATAAACAGTAAAATAATGCAAGGGATAATACACTTTAACCCATATAGCTTTATGCTAAAACACTGAATGTACTACACTGGATTCAAAGTTGGGCTCAAGTCTTAGGTTCTGAAATTTCTTAGTTTCTGAACCTGGAAAAATGATTAACTTCAGCTTGCTTAAGTTGTCTTCTTTTTTTAAAAATCTGAAATAAGGCCAACCATTTACAGAAGTTGTAAAATAGCATTGCACAAATGGTTATAAATATTATTTTTATTGGAAAAGTTCTAATTTATATATATGGCAGTTGTATAAGCTGCTTGATAAAGTGAACCAAGTCCAAGCCAAGTGACATGGACCTGAAACTCCATCTTAAATAAATATTTTTTCTGTGTGTTTATTTCTTACAACTATGCAAAACAGGCAAAATTATCTACACTTAAGAAGCTCGTGGGATTAAATTTCTCAAGATTTTACCCTGCCAGATGTTATACTGCATAACTTTTTATATATAGAACATTTATGAGGTTCAAATAAAAAAAATGTAAATATAAGTGATAGTCTGTTACCTGTCCTTCAGGTACTGAATTCCCCTTCTTAAAAGTAAAAGTTCAAGATCTTATAATTATCCATGTTTCCCTAATTAGCATTAGAATCCCATGAAAATAAAGACTTTTCACCTTTATAGCTTAGTTCTTAAATAGAACTAAGTGAAATGTCCTAAAAGATCTGGAAATGATTTCAAGTATACTTGCCCTACCATCTCCATAAGTCATCAATAAGTTTCACATCCGAACTATGCATCTTAAATTGCCTCTGTTACTCAGGAGCGGTTCTCCAAGAAAATATTGTTGCCCAATGTTTCTCAATGAGCACTAAATTCAGAAAACTGATTTTACAGAGTAGCTGTTATTTTCACTATTTTTTTAAAGAGTACTTTCAGGTTGTTCTAGATCGTAGCCCAAATGTACAGAATCTAGAACTTTGGAAGATAAATCGTCAATCTTGTACTTTATTGCAAAATGTCCTGCAATGTTTTCTAATTGTTACACACAATTAGAAAGCTAATATCTTGGGAATTCTATGACACCAAAATATACACAATAGAAGAAAGCTTGATCTATATTTTCATACTTCCAGTAACCTGTATAGGTAATTCTACAAAATACTCAAACTATAATTGGATAGAATAAAGACTGTGATACTGACTACGCCAAAGAAGAAAGAAACTTAGTTATCTTCAACACAGGCAGCAGATGATCAGCAGGCAGACAAGAGCCAGAAATAAGATCTTACACATTCTACATGACCGTAAATATCTGAAGGTTTGCTCACCAGTTATATCAATGGGTTCCAAAGCAAATGCTTCTTCCTCATTTGGAACAAGTGTTGTCTGATCAGTCATAGTTGGCATTGGTTCAACAGGATCCACTGAATCAGGACTGTCAGGCCCACCCACTACAAAAACAAATATGGTTACAATAGGCTTGGGTATAATAATATATATCCCTACAAACAGAAAAAGAAATGTCTCTTTGAAACTAAAAGAAACCCCACTAGTACTAAAATACTTTTTCATTTATGAGGCAGTTCCTCCAGAGCTGAACTGCAGTGGACAAGAAAGGGGAGGGACACAGGGTTAAACACATGAAAATTAGAACTAGTCATCAACCGTAAGTACTATATTCAAAGACATTTATGGTTCACTGAAAACTAAACCTTTTGGTGTGGTCTATGTTAAATTATCTTTTGGATGTCATATAATCACCCCAAGAATCACTGCTGAACATGAAATGCTTACTTGATACATTATCGTCTTCATCCATATCATCGTGTGCAGGCTGCTCTGGCAACATCACCCCTGCCTCAGAGAGGGCGGGGGGATCATCAAAGATACCGCCATCATTATTACTAATAAGTTTGTCATCTGAAATAGGGAATGTAATTTAGCTAAAATTTGAAAAGGAAATGCTACAAGAATAGTCAATCACTGGAAAAAGAAAAATTATGTTAAAGTAGATGAAATTTGGGGTATTAAACCTGAAATACATTTATATGTGTTTCTCAAGGTTCTTTGTAAGCATATAAAATGTTCAGTATACCAAGAATTTGTCATTTATTTTTTAAATTAAGTATCTATTTCAAAATGTTCACTTAACATATATATCAATATAAATAGAGCAGTTTAAAGAAATAGCAAAATTTAGAATTTTTAGATAAACATCTTTTAAAATTGAGTTATTTTTACATTTTAGGCTCATTGTACAGAACTTTTACTGAATCCATTGATCAAATTAACATATGTACCTAGCTGCTCAAGCAGAATTTTCAACTGCTTCAAAACATCAGTGAATACAGAAATTAGAATAGCCAACTTTCAGTGACCTACCTAATATTCCACCATCATTTCCTTCTCCAAAATTATCATCTTTATATTGGTCTTCATATTCTAAATGGTTAATTTTCTCATTCAGATTGCTGGTGCTCTGTTCAGGTTCTAGGAGTAGGTTAGAAGCACTCGTGCTTACTAACATGTCATCATCCTCAAATGCACTGCCTTCTCTCATTATCTCACGATCATCCATTCCAAAGTCACCTAAACAAATTTTGGTAAAGCATTAAATGAGAAAGGTTGGAAACACCACTGTTAAAAAGACAACAACTGATTTATTAGAATTATGTTACACTTGTTTACTGAAATCTTTGAATATTAAAACATAATTTTTCTTTTTTAAAAAACTAACCCTAGGGGACATGACTAGAACAAAATCAGATTTACATCCAAATTTAGGTTACCCTAAATATGTCAGGTAAACCCAAATATATATTATATGTTAGGGTTCATTAACATTCAGACTTAAACTTTACAATGTTTTTTCATCAATAAAATGTGGCTTGTTATCAGTTTTGAATACCTAAGTTTTGGACAGTGGTTACAAATACAATAAATTGTTCCAAAATGATTATTTTAAAAGTGAGCATTAGTTCAACACTGGATCTTTTCACACAAATCAAAACATAGCTTCTTTTGTGTATGAGGAGCAGGAGCAGGCAAAGAGTGAACTCTCTAATAAACTGATGTGTTAATGGAATGAAGCTTAATATGCCAACAGGAAGGCAAATTCTTTTCTTGATGAAAATGAATTAGATGAAACTTCAAGTCTTTGTCAGCATGAATGTAATATTAAGTACATTTTTAAAATTGCTAGCAGTGTCACAACATAATTATAATATTATAACTAATAGCAATTTTTTTCTTTTACCAAAATCATTTTCTTGTAGTATACTGATGTTCCCAACTTCCTCTCTCATGGTTATCTCTTCCACTCTACTCTGGTTCAGGCTGAACTGCTGGGCTACATCAATGTCACTTTAAAAGAAGTTCAAATACATGTTAGATTCAAGTCTCATAATAATGTATTTATAAGGGAAATATATACCCCAATTCTCCCTATAAATACAAACTATCTAGTTTTAGAAGTCTGATATTTAAAACTCAGCATTATTTCAAAATAATTCATGCATGACGAGATCTAAGTTGTATTTAAAGATTTTAAATCACTGATGACCAGCAAGCAAAATATGCTGAAATCACTATCTAAGGCAATCTAAGGCAATTTGCATATACTCTTAGATGAAAAAATTAGAAATGATGGGCTACATAGGATGGGTTTTCATCAGGGCCCCACAACTTATTACTACCTGTGAGAACTCTGAAGTTCTTTGGCTTTTCTGAGACTCAATTTCTCTATCAAAAAATAACCACCTCATGTAGTTTAAAAATATAAAAAGTATGTAATGTTCACCAATCTGAGATACTTCTGGCCAAATCTAGATCATAAACAATTTACACAAATGACTGTTTGCTTAGTAAATAAACAGGATGCAAACATAAAAGGGATGCAAGATTCCTTAGAATCTTAACATTTGTGGGACATATTAACCAAATGCAGTCTGTAGACTTTGTGTAATCTCAAACTGAAAAGAAAAATAAACAAACACACCCAAAGAGGAGAAGGATAAGAAAAAGTCTATGTGTCAACTGAGGACATTAAATTCTGACTGGATAGTTCATTTCGGAATTACTACTGTTTATGAGGTGTGAAGTCACAGGTATGTTTTAAACATCCCTTATCTTTAAATCCAGAAAAATTGAAATATTAGCAATGAAGTTAGATTATCTTATTTAATTTAAAATAATCTAGTGGGAGTGGGAGGTGAACTTGAAAAATATAGATGAAAAAAATAAAACTGGCAAAATATTGATAAAGAAGCTATACATGAGGTATATAATAGTAATTTATTAGTTGTTCAAAAAATTGCACAAGATTTTTTTTTTTTTTTAAATAAAGGTATAAGGAGTGGGGGGAGGCCGAATAAGTGTTCAGCATAACAAACACACATACAAAATGAAAACAGATCAAAAAATGTACTCAAATTAGGAGTCACAGATCATTTCAAACACCAGATAAATCTGTTATAAAGTGGTATGGAGGGGTTTCTTGATTAGAAAACCGGTCACATACTCCACATCAAGGTAAAATAACTGCATTTTAAGGACCTGAGAAAAGGGAAACATTATACCACAGGCCTCTGCTATATATAACAGCCACCTCTATGTAACTTTCCCTGTTAAGAGCAATTTTCTTGCTCTTCATAGAAAATTATGTTTATTTAAAAAAAAAAAAAAATGTGGATCTGAGAATAGTTTGGCCAAGAAGATGATCAGTAGGTGACTTTTATACCTCTGAAAAAATTGATATCATTATATAAAAGTACACCCCTGGACAACTGTTTAGTTTAAACAAGTTTTGGCCTTGTACAAGTACATCAGAATTCTCATGTCTTGGTTGTGTAAAAGTTCATGTCCATGAAATTCTTATAGAAGAAGCACTTTCTAGTTTATATATTTCATATGTATACACAATCCTAAATGAAGCATATTCATTTTATCTAGATGTTAACTCAATGCTGAAACATTCCAAGGAAAACTATGCATGTGGAAGCCAATAACATGCTTCTTTTATAAGCCAAGCTAACAATAAAAAAAAAAAAAAAAGAAAGAAAGAAAAAGAGGGGGTAGTACATACTCTAAGTCTGGCAGTGGTTGATCAAAGTCATGAAATTCTTCAGGTAAAGTAATGGCATTATAGGCTGCCTCCCGATTTTCTTCAGGCAGGTCAACAACACCTAGAAAAGAAATACTAAGTTTCAAGGCCTAGCTATATCACAGAGTGGATCAAAGAGAAGTGGAAATAATTTCCTGAGGTTATATTCCAAAAAGGTTGATAACATGCAAAGCAATTTGAAGAACAAGTAAGTTTTTATATTATCATAAACACAGTACTATTACAAAAAAAGGTTAAAGCACCAATTATACATTAAGCTAATAGGCCTACAGAAATGATTACAAAAGAATACAATAAACGTTTAAAAGGAGTTTTGGTTCTTTTTGGGACAATAAGAATAAATAATTTTAGCTAAGCTTAAAAATTTTCATGATAAAAAAATTCAAATAAAATGACAGGCATAAGCAGAGAAAAAAACCAAAAGTTACCTACAATAAACACACATTACTTTAAAAGAAAAACAAAACTGCTGGGCACAGTGTCACACACTTGTAATCCCAGTGGCTTGGGAGGCTGAGGCAGGAGGATTGCAAGTTCAAAGCCAGCCTCAGCAATTCAGTGAGACCCTGTCTCAAAATTAAAAACAAGACAAAAAACAAAACAACAACATGCGGGTGTTGCGGGGTGCTGGGGATGTGTGGTTCAGTGGTTAGACATCCCTGGGTTCAAGCCCAGCACCAAAAACAAACAAACAAACAAATGAAAGACAAAACTAAAAAACATGTTGTTTCAACAAAATGCACACAGTGGCCACATGTTAGAAACTCAAGCATCACAGAATTTGCTTAAATACTTTAAATAAAATCTGAAATCTCAAACATTTATTGTTAATGTAGTAAAATGATATACTAGAATATAACCTCAGTAGAAACTATTCACAAATCACCTGTTTTTTACATTTGGATTATTTCAAATAGAATAAAAATTTCATCAATGCTCAAAAAGTTACAGAATTATTTATTCACAGAAATACTATGGTAAATTGGTATTAAGATTATTTGGGAAAAATTTAAAATCTTAAAATTATCTTTTCTCAGTTATCTTTAAGAAGCAAATCATCACATAATAATTAATTTTCAAAATTTCAACCTCTGATGACAGTTTTATGTATACTGTTGAAAAAAAGGATAAAAGAATTACTCTACAGACAAGACAGATGAAGTAAAATAAGTTTCCTTTGAAGCAGTGCCTCCCCAAACCTTGTGCTATCTTTGAAAGGTTCTTGTATTGCAATAAAAATAAAACATGCTGACCTAGAATGTTTAGCAGTTTTCTTCACAAAACATGGTAAATTCCAAAGTTTAAAAAAAAGCAATAATACCTGGCCGAAAAGCCATCTTTATCTTAATGAATGCTTCATTACAGTCTGCAAGCAGATATTTGGCTTTCCTGTGATAGATTCGAACTACTCCCAGTAAGAGATGTCCTGATGTTCGCAGTGCCATCTTCACCTTCAAATGAAACATTAATATTAATCTAATTTATAGTTAATTCTATAGTTTTAGAGATAACAATGCTTTGAAGTTTGTACTTTGTTATGTACAGGGAATTTTTACTTTCTCTTTATACCTTTTATCATTTAAAGTTGCCTCAAAATCTCCTGATTTTATTTTTTACTGTCTTGACCTATAAATTTCTTCAATGTACCCCAAAGTTAGATTAGACAGATGAATAGTAGTAATTTATAATTTAACATAGACATGAAGATAGTTATGAAACAGGAACCATATCATGCCACAGACTATGTCATTAGCACAGTTTTGGCAATTACGAATAGGTTTTTGTACAAATGCAAGTTTTGGACTGCTTAAATACCAAGAAGCCTGACTGTTGTACAGATTCATATGAAATTATCAAACTGTCTTATTTCATCTTACTGGTCCTGGGGACTGAAACCAGGGGCACTTAATCACTGAACCACATCTCCAATCCCATTTTTTACATTTTATTTAGAGACAGCATCTTGCTAAGTTGCTTAGAGCCTTGCTAAGTTACTGAGGCTGCCTCAACCACTAGAGCTGCTGGGATTACAAATGTGCCCTAGCTATCAAACTGTCTGTACAACATCTGTACAACATCAAATCCCAAGGAAAATGAATGAGATTTTTTTGTTGCTCCACATCCTGACCACCATTTGGTGTTATCAGGGTTTTGAATTTTGGCTATTCTAATAGTGGTATCTTGTTTTAATGTGCATTTTCTTGATAACATGATATGGCAAATATACTGGTTTTCTGTGCATTTTCTTTGGTAAGCTGTTAAAAGTTTTCAACCCTTTCTGAAATAATTTTTTTCCCTATTGTTGAGTTTTAGGAGTTCTTTGTACATTTTGAATAATAGTCCTTTAACATATATTTTTACAAAGATTTTCTTTCTTTCTTCTTCTTTTTTTTTTTTTGTTCAAGGAACTGAACCCAAGGCACTTAACCACTGAGCCATAGCCCCAACCCTTTTTATTTTGAGACAGGGTCTGACTAAGTCCTTAGGGCCTCACTAAATTGCTGTGGCTGTTCTTGATCCTCCTGCCTCAGTCTCCTGGGTCACTGGGATTACAGGTGTGAGCCACCCTGCTGGCTTTTTTTCTCTATCAGGATTTCATTCTCTTGACAGTATCTTTGAAAACAGCAGGTTTTTTTTTTTTTTTTTGGTTAGGAATTGGACCCAGCAACTCAAATCGATAAGCACAATGCTTTATCTGAGCTTCACACCCAGATTCCAGAAATTTGAATGTTAATGAAGTGTAGAGAATAAATTCTTTCTTTGATGGATTATGCCTTCAGTGCTGTATCTTAAAAGCTATCATCAAATTCAAGATCATTTAGATTTTCTACTATGTTCATTTCTAGGAGTATTATATTTAGTATTTTACATTTAAGTCTATGCCCCACTTTGAGCTTTTTTTGGGGGAAAGGAGTAAGGCCCTATGTCTAGGTTCACTTTTTTTGCATGTTGATGCTCAGTTGTTCCTATTCTTTTTTTTTTTTTCTTGAGAGAGAGAGAGAGAGAGAGAGAGAATTTCAATATTTATTTTTCAGTTTTCAGCGAACACAACATCTTTGTTTGTATGTGGTGCTGAGGATCGAACCTGGGTCGCATGCATGCCAGGCGAGCGCGCTACCGCTTGAGCCACATCCCCAGCCCATGTTTCTATTCTTTGAAAAAACTTTTTTCTCCACCATTTCATTCTTTAATGGTTGCACTGCATAAGACCAGAAATAAATTTCAAAAATTAAAAATAATGTAAACTACTCAAAACAAAAAGAAAAAGGTTAAATAAATCATGTACAAACAAAATAATAATTTATGGGTCCATAATTCCTTATCTAAAGTCCTAGGGGCCAAGTGTGTTTTAGGATTCAGAATATTAAAGGTAATACAGTATATATGCCATATATTACAAAATTCCCAGGAGGGTCTAGAACAGCCCCCATGATCACAAATAGTAGTTCTTTCTACAGTGAACTTATAAATACTTAAGTTACTTCACCTTAGCTGAGGTCAAGTCTGTTTCAAATTCTGCATTTAAGTTCTTTGTATATAAGACTAAGACACTATAAATCACAAGCATTAAATGAGGTAGAACTATGAACATATCTGTTCCTGAATGCAGTATAATTACAGAACAACATAATTCAGTTTGTTTGTAAGGTTTTCATTTCACTAAAATTTTCAAATTAATACTGTCTTGAAACATAGGAATGTCGAATGTCTTTAACACTAATAAATCCCACAGCTACAACTCTAAAGCCAGATAAAATTCCATATACAGAAAATAAAATATGTATTTTCACAATTTTTCAGAGTAAGTCCATATACAGACACTTTAATTCTAAGCACAAACTTTCACTTCTCCCACTTAAAAATATGTATTTTTTCTTTGCAACCTACACCTCAGATACAGCCTTTATCTCTAAGATGTATAAAGAAATAAAAAAAAAAAAACACCAAAAATCAAAACAAAAACAAAAAACCCAAATAACCCAATCAATAAATGAGCAAAGGAACTGAAGAGACACTTCACAGAAGAAATATGATCAGTCAACAAATATATAGAAAAAATGTTCAACATGTCTAGCACTCTAGCAATTAGAGAAATGGAAAATTAAAACTACAATGAGATTTCACCTCACTTCAGTTAGAATGGCAATTACCAAAAAATACAAGTAACTATAAATGTTGGGAAGGATGTGGGGAAAAGGTATACTCATATATTGTTGGTGGGACTGCAAAATGGTGTAACCACTCTGGAGAGTAATAGATTTCTAAGAAAACTTGAATTGGAACTACCATTTGATCCAGTTATCCCACTCCTTCGTCTATACCCAAAGGAGTATCAGCATACAATAGTGACACAGCCATATCAATGTTTGTAGCAGCTCAATGCACAATAGTTAAGTTATAGAACCAACCTAGGTACCCTTCAACAGAGGAATGGATAAAGAAAGTGTGGTACATATACTCAGCCATAAAGAATGAAATTATGGTATTTGCTAGTATATGGATGTTACTATCATGTTAAGTGAAATAAGCCAATCCCCAAAATCCAAAGGTCAACTGTTTTCTCGGATATATGGATTCTAACTCACATTGGGTTAGCAGAGGAAGGTTTATGGAATTGAAGGGTGGGTAGTGGGGCAAAAGGAGGGAGGGATGGGAATAGAAATATAAATATGTGACCAATATAAGTCCACATATCATGTATAACCACAAAAATGGAAAGTTATACTCCATGTGTGTATGACATGACATTTACATATTCATTCAAGTATATATGACAATCTACTGTCATATATAACTATAAAGGACAACAATAAAGATTAGTTTCCCTCACCAGACCATGAACAACTTGAGAATGGAGCTGTGTCCTCTCATTTCTGAGGAGTTTACAGTTTCTGGCATTCTGTATTCTCATACCAGAAATAAGTAGTTAATGTATGAAAGTTAAAAAAATAAAAATATGTATTTTTCACAACTTTTCAGAGTAAGTCTCTGCTACACCCTTGGCTTTTCCCCTAAGATTTGCTCTTCTGGCAATAAAGAACTACTCTTTACTTAATACATTATGCCAACACTGTCTCAACTGTCATTCCTAAAAACAATATTTCAGAATGCTTGTCTATACTGCTATGATACAGAAGGTTTTTACTACATAGGAAAGTTGGTGCATACATTTTGTCCATATGTACATATAAATATGAGGTACAAAACAGGACCTCTAACACACAAATATAAATAGATAAATTACTTAGAACTCTTCATGTTTTTTAAGTCCACATATCTGTTCTTCATTGAAATAATTATGATGTGATGGTAAGTGCACCTCTTGTGCTTTAAAAGTTCCTTTCTTGATATAGTACCAATTCCATATTACTTTAAGTTGTACTGTTTGTGAAATAGAAATGTGGGTATTACTGTTTCAGGCACTTTTAGAGGGTGTTAATAAGAGCTCCTCAAGGAACAGATCAATAAACAATACAAAGAAAGTAAAGGACATTCACAAGGCTTACATCCTAGTGAGAGACAGAAAGTAATTAAGGAAGGGAGCAAATAGTCCATGGAATTGTGTCACTTGAAAAGGGCACAGCAGGTATAAATATCCTATGATGAAGAAAAAGCTTAGTTAGTATCTTTAAGAAACACCAAGTAGGTCTGTGAGGTTGAGGTAAAGTAAGTTGTGTATACAGTATTTACTGGGTAGATAAGATAAATCTGGCCCTGAAAATCTTTTAAATTAGTGAGTCCTTTATTTTGAATATTTTGAAAATTCCTAAATCAGGAACATTTACATACTTATTTATATATCTAGAACGTTAAATATAAAATATTTGGATAATGCCCTCATCTTATGCTTATATACCACTAGAATAAGCAAATGAAATATCAGTGTACTTACAAAACTTTTAAAGACAATATTGAACTGTGATCATACTAATCAGATAAAAAGACAAAAAGATAAAGGAATACTGGAAAATCTATGGAATTTCCTTGTCTCTGATATACATAGATAGATGATTACCTAATAAGTTCTTTTTAAAGTTCTATTTCACATATCAATAAACAAAGTGGATAAAAATATCAACATCAAACATACCTTCGGTGAGATGATACTCTCCACGCTGCTCTCTAAATTACACTCAAACACATGGGCTTTGGTTAGCTTCTTATCCCAATGGGCCGCTAGCCAAATTTTGGCCAGAGGCCCTCTTTTACTGAGAACAAAATGTGCGTAGAACATTGTTCTGGTTGCCTATGAACTGCGAGAAAATCTGAAGAGAAAAAAATTTAATGTAAGTACCATAAAAGAATTGAAATATTTCTTAAAACAAAGAAATAATAATAATAATTAAAAAACCACACCATCCAAGTTTCTTATTTTTAATATGAGATACAAAAGGTTTGAAAGCATAACATGCATTTCACAAAACATCTTATTGTTTTAATTCAGAGGGTAAAAAAGATCCCAAAATATTAAGAGCTAAAATGAAAAGGGACAAATGAGTCAAATTGCTTTTATACTTTGTTATCTTAAAAATGGTCACCAGAAAACTCTTTTCAAAAGTTCTATCAATTTCTAACTTGATTATTAACAGTGGCAATAGTTTGCTTATTGCACCAAAACTACAAACTTTATTTTTCATGGCAAGAAAAAATGTCTAAGAGATATTCAGGCACAGATACTAATGTGGAAATGTCCATTTCTAGGACCCCATTAAAAACTTGAGATTCTCAGCGAATGTTCTGTGTAATAATTACTACTTCGTCACACAGCATTGTGCCTTTTGAATTTCCATAGCCAGCCAAGCAAAACTAAGTAGGTGGGTGCTCTCATTTTACAGGTGGGTATTTTAGAAAAATTGAGGCTCAAAAAAGTATTATTTATATAGTTTTCTTAATTCAGGACTTTGAAAAATACTTGTCCGATCAAAATTACAAGCGTGTCATTGATAATTTTCTTCAGCAAGCTAATGTATTAATATATAAGAAAAGCAGCCCCCAAACTTGGGCCTGGTGGAGTACTGTGCAAAGTGATATTTCCCTTATTTAATTTCCCTCTTTCATAGATTACAAAAAAAAAAAAAATCTATTTTGACCCCCCAAAATCTGTCTTTGTCTAAAATGTCCAATTGTTCATGATTAGCAAGATGCCTTCCTTTTTCCATAATGGCAAGCACACCAATAATACACAAAAAGTACTTACCAATTTTAACTTTAATTTTGAAATATAGATTCACAGATAGTTATAAAAATAGTAGAGATGACCCAATACCTTTTATCCTATGTGCCCCCAGTGGCACTATCTCATGTAACTATAATACAGTATCAAAACCAAGACAATGATATTGGTTCAGAGTGTTATGTGTAGTTCTATGCCATTGTATCACATGTAGATTTGTGCAATCACCACTGTAAATAAGATACAGGATCATTCCATCACCACAAAACTCTTCACACCCATCCCTTGCTCCTCACCATTCCTAAGCCCTACAACTATACTGTTCTCTACATTTCTGTCATTTTGAATATGTTACTTGTTGCATTTACCAATAGTATATTTCCTTTTATTGCTGAGTATCATTCTGTGGGATAAATAATATACAACAACTTTCTTAGCTGTTCACCTCTTGAAGGAGGCTATTGGCTATTTACTTTTGGGCTATTACTCATAAAGCTACTATAAATATTGTGTGTAGATCCTAAGTTTTCTCTACAATAAATGTCCTAAAGTGTAAGAGCTAGGGACTATGACAAGTATATGTTTAGTTTTAGTGAAATTTTAATGCAACTACCAAAATTATTGTGAGATTTTCTTCTTACAACTATAGACAATATTATTCTAAAATTTATATCACGAGACAAAGAAACTAGAAAAGATAAAACTATTTCAAAGATGGAGAATAAAATGGAAAAAATTAGTCCACATGATTTTAAGATTTATCGCTACAACAGTCAACATTGTGATGCTGGTAGAAACAAACTCACAGATCAATGGAACAGAATAGCGAACTCAGAAACAGACACAAATAAGCCTGATATTTTACAAAGATACAAAAGCAACTCAAAGGAATAAAGGATAGATTCAACAAATGGCGTTGAAATGATTGAATGTCATCTATAGTAAAACAAACATAAACACCCAAACCTCAAATATCATCAAAATTAATTTGAATTAGATCACAGACTTAAAATTAGGAAACATTTAGGGGGAAACAAAACAAAACCACCTCCGGTACCTAAAGCCTGGCAAGAATATTTTAGATAAAAAAGCATATCAAATTCCATGATGGAAAAGTATTCAATAAACTGTTTTTCATCAAGTTATAAACTTTTGCTCTACAAAAGACTCCATATAAGGGTATGCAAAAACAAACTACAGACTGTATTTGACTAGAACTTGGATCTGGAATATGTAGAGTTCTCAAAGCTCAAGAACAAAAAGAAAAACCAATCAAAAAGAACAAAAGAAATGAAAAAATTCACAGAAAAGGATATAAGAACACGAAAATATTACTAGCCATTAGACAAATGCAAATTAGAGCCCAGTGAGTTAGCATCATACACTTATTACAGAAGCTAAAATAAAAAACAGAAGTTAACATTGAATGTTGGGAGAGTGCAAAGAAGCAGCATGATCTCTCTTATGCTGCCTTAAAAAAAAGATTCAGAGAAGATCTTGTAAATTTTAAAATGAAAAGTAACTTATTATATTTTTCAATTAAAAATGTGCCCATTCTTTCCTTATAAAGAAAATCTTACAGTGAAACACATCACAGGAAGAGATTTCACATATGTCAAAAATACCTGAGAGGATTGGGCATGGTGGTCAAAGAGTAACATAGTCAGTTTTACCTCATCTCCCATTTTCTATCTTTAATAACAAAGGGTCCTGAAATTCTCATTCTCTGAGCCTAATGCTCCCAGAGGATCATTAATCACTGCAGGCAAATTTTCTCTAAAGGAAATAAACAGGCTTTATCAATTCCTAATAGTGTAATCTTTTTCTCTCAAATTTGAAGTTAAGAACTAAGGAATACTATATCAGGAAGAATTCAGAGCAAATGCTCTAAAACGTTTCTCAGAGTAAAACGAAAGCCTCCCATACAAGTATTATAAATAAAACCTAGAGAAATTTATAGTATCCAATATGTCAGCAATGTTTTTAGAAATGTAGTCACTGTCATGAAGCCCCAAGTTCCACTATGGAAGCAAAACACTGTGTAACAACAAGAACAAAAAACTTCTAAAATGCTGTCTTAACATGTGACAATTACTAAATACATATTTAATGAATAAGTAAATGAGGTACACCAAGTGATCTCATAGTTGACATATATAAAAGTCATGGAGCTTTTAGAAATTAGAACTACTGGCACTTTTCAACAGGTGTCAGTAGTTTACAGCCAACATTTCAGCTGCTGGTCAGAGCACCATCTCTAAACTATCCCAGCTATGCAGAGGCAGTGATTCCTAAATAGATGCCTTCTTGGCATGGGACAGGGGAGGAGCCATACTAAAATTAATCTGGAAAACAATTAGCAAGAGGAAATCACCCTATTAACTAAAGGAAGCAAAAGGAACAGTGGTAGAGCTGCTACCAACTTATATCTGAAATGAATAGAAAATTTAATTACTGCTACTTTTTAAAATCAATTTTATCTTGGTAATACCAAACTTAAAAAAAGAAAAAAGTTGGTTAATCTGTATAGGTTTTGAAGATTTTAAAATTTGGTAATCCTTTACAAAAGACCTTAGCAGAAAAGACAGCATTTGACAGCAGAGCAGAGAAAGGAAAAAAAAAAAAAAGAAAAAAGGTAATTTTCTTAAGATTATTTCAAAAAGCAAAGTCAAACTGAAGCTCATGTTTCTTCTATTATGTCAGTGATCACCAACACTTCACTCATCTATTAGGATAGTGGCAGTGTAAACAGTACCACGCCTTTTAAGGACAATTTGACAACACCTCCAGTAATCGATGTAAAAGATGTATCTAGAAACTATCAACCACACACACAAAAACACATTAAAAAAAATTACTATGCCCCAAGTATTTTATGTAACCAACTTCTAATAACTAATACGCATAACAAATACTAGCCCATTTTACATATGAGAAAATAGAGCAAAGGGAAGAGAATAAATGTCACTAGTATTTCATGTAAGTGGAATCTGAACTTCAGTGCCCACACATCTAACTACAACACTACTGCCTTGCAGCATAACTTTCAATAACATAATAATAGAAGTAACCTACCTAGCCATCAATAAGTATCTTGAAAATTAATACAACCATATAACAGAATACAGTGCAACTTTAAGCAATAATATATAATTTGTATTAACAAGGAAAATCTCCAGAATAAGCTCAGGATACTCGGTGGAGGGGGCAAGAGAACCCTGTGATGTGTGTGTTTATGTGTGTGCGCATGTGTGTTTATAACCATTTATATTTTCAGATTCACATCCTCAGATTCAACCAACTGCAGATCAAAAATATTTTTTAACAAAATATGTCTGTCCAGTAGATTGGGAGGGGAAAAGGGGTCACTGGGAACTGAAACGGAGCAAATTAAATTTCACGCAGTATAATCATATACAAATGGAACCAACTATTATGCACAACATACATAAGTATAACATACTAATAAATGCATAAAATGACTGTATTGAACATATACAAACTTTTCCCCCCTTGTCATTATTCCCTTAACAACACAGGATGACTCTTTACATATCATTACATTGTACTATGTATCACAAGTAATCCAGAAATGACACTGTATGTGGAGGTTGTGAGTAGATTACATGCAAATAGCATACTGTTATATAAAGGACTTGAACATCCACAGATTTTAGTATCCTGGAGGTGGGGCCTGGAACCAATCTTTTGGATATCAAAAAATGATGGGCTCTCCCAATTTTTATTTAAACACACGTATACAGATATTGTGGGGTTGATTCTAGATTACTGCAATAGAGTCAACAAGTTTTTTGGTTTCAAGGTACACAGGAATGTTATGTTTATAAAACACTGTAGTCTACTAAGTGTGCACTAGCATAAAGTCTAAGAATCTTAAACAATTAGGTGTCTTAATTTAAAAAATGTTTTGTTAAAAATGCTAATGATAATCTGAGCTCTGGAAAATAGTGCCTATTGACCTGCTCAACACAGGGTTGTCACAAATCTTCAACAGGATTAAAAAAAAAAAAAAAAAGCAGTACTATGAAGCGCAATAAAATGATGTATGGCTATCTTTTTGACCTGTGGTTGACAGAATCCATTTATGTGGAATCCAAGGATGCAGAGGCCAACTATATACATTTCCAAGCACCTGAGTAAGCAAAAAGTATCTGTGGGATATACATGAAACTGGTGACAACAGTTACCTCTGGAAAGAAGATTTGAAGGGAAAGTCCTATGCTTTTGTATATGTGTTTGTCCATACATACACATGTATATACATTAACTTATTTATACATAAACATTGCCTATTTAAAGTAGAAACTACCACTCTGGGAGTTCAGACATAATCCAGCTTTGCCATTAACCAGTAAGTTAAGTTAACCTCTATGTAGCTCTGTTTCATTACTATAAGAATGCAACTATCTCCTTGGGAAGTGGAGGGTGGAGGGAGGCATTTCCATCCAACCTTGCACACTAGAGCTCTGTCCCTTTTGATTCTAACATTGACCTAGGGTTTTACAGTAAGAATAGTCCTAAATTCAAATTCAACTAATAGTCCTAAATTCAAATTCAACTCCCTCCTCACTTAGTTGTTTTGCAACAGCGAAAAAGTTATTTAACATCTAAGTTTTAGTTTTCTCAACTATACGGTGAGGATAATATTCACCAAAACGATGAATAAAAATTAAACACATCAGCATACCTAACACAATGCACCACAGTAGATGCAAAGAGTGACTTTTAAAAACCATCTTGTAGCAAAAGATTAACCAGTCAGCATGATTATGCCTAACTATGACAATTAAAATATTATAATTTTTACTCCTCAAAAACTGGAAAATTTCCCAATTTACTAAATTATAAGATTTATCAGAATCTGTTCTGCTAAATAGGAATTCATGAGAAAAGATATTCTCAACCGAATGAGTAATCATACACCACTCTAAAGGGGAAAGTTTAATTCTAGAGAATGCTAATGTACTGCCTTTATAAACACAGAAAGGTAAAGGTTATGCTCTACTAAAATTCCGACTTGTATATACAACGCACTATTAGTTATGCATTGCTGTCACCTCAACTATGCAAGCTCTTACTAATTTAATCACTGGATATGGCATACGTTCTCATCAATGCTTTCTCCAAAATAATTATATGTTTCCAATATTAGTGGTATTTTTAATGAATCCAACTTATGAAAGCTCAGTCGGTTTCCAAAATTCTTTAGATTCACACAGTTGGCAATTATTCTCATATTAAGAAACTGGGATGCTTTTGAAAACAAATTCTACCCAATCTAATGAGAGCAAACATTAACTTTCGCTCGTAGAGAGATGATGAGCAAACCTTTACCAGAAACCCTTCAAACACCGACGTGCTTTAGAACGCTTAAGACAGCCTAACAAATCAGAGTGACCAAACAAACCCTCCAGGGTTTCCTTCTTACGAATTTGAAGAAGGCCGCCTAAGTCTGGCAGTACAACCTGAGAGTGTCACTCCAGAACATCACAGATCATTCGCAAAGCCTCTCAGCGAGACGAAGAAGGCATCAAAGTGTCTCCCAATCACCCGATATAATTAAACATTTTAAGAAAGCGTTCAGAAAAGTTAAGGGGGAAACCAATTACGCTCACGTCCCAACAATCGGAAGCAACTTCCCTTCGTCGCGCTTTCTACTGGTCGGTCCAGTTTTTAACATCCCCGACGGGGGGGGGGAAACCTAAAGGGGGAGGCAGTGGCTGGCGAGGGCCCCACCGCCCTGAAGTCCACCGTGCAGCAACGGCAGGGCCCGCACGTCCCCGATCCACATCGCAGCTCGGCGGACCGCGCTGCCCCTCCGAGCTGGCAGCCTGGACCCGGGCCTGCCACGCCTGCTCACGCCCCAATCCCGCGTCTGCCCAGACAGCCATTTTCACCGAGGAGTAGGCGGCCCGGTCCGAGAGCGCGCTGGTTCAAACCTCCTGCCCTCCCTCAGCGGCCCAGGCTTCCTCTGCTACTCAGCTAGAAGAGAGGGGCCGGCCCCACCAGGGACGCGCGGAATAACGGCTTTTGTAGTTTCAGAATGGAACCAAACCATTTGTTACCGAACAGGCGATGATGCGGGCGGGGGCTGTGCGGGTCCCGGCCAAGAGCAAGCCCGGAGCTGAGATGCCTGGGCGGGCGGGGGGTCGGGGGCACGGCGGGGCCAGCACGCAGGGGCACCGCAGGCGCTGCCTGGTGCCTAACTCTCCCGCCCACCCGAGTCCCGCTCCCCGAAGGCAGCACGGAGGGGAAGGGGTGGGGGGGAGGGAGCCGAAGGACAAGAGTCGGCCAAGCCTCTTACCTTTGCTCTCCGCTGGGAGCTGGGCGGTCTGGGTGGCCTGGGGAGGGGAAAAGGGTTGGGGGAGGGGGCGGGGAAAGGGGGGAGCCCTAGCGAGGTGTAGCTTCGGAGCAGCTCCCGCCCGCAGCCACAGCCGCCGCCTCCTTTCCGATTCACTCAAACAAACAAGATGGCTGCCGTTACACCGCGGCTCTTCCTGCCGCCCAAATCCTCGGTTCAAATCGGCAGGATGTTTACGGTCAAAATGGTCCCAGTGCGCCTGCGCAACCAGCCTGCGACTCTGAAAGAGCGACGCAGGCGCAGCAACCATTTCCTTTTCTTTGGAACCCGCCCCCTGGCTGTGGAGCCCGGAACTGAGCAGGCGCAAAGGTGATTCTCTAGCGACGGGGATCGCCATTGACTTGGCAAACTGCGCACGCGCAGGGCTGCCCAGTAAGTTGAATGTTTGAAATCAGGTTGATTCTTGCGCTTGTTTTAAAGAAAGGGTGTGCAGTTTTGTGTGCGCCCTACCCCAGAATATATTTTAATGGTCTTATAGCAGCGAGGGTAACATGAAAACTTTGAACTAGCTCTGTAAAATATAAGGGCTCATTCATTCATTCAACCTACATTTATAGGTTTGTCAAAGAGTGCTAGCTTGGCTCTGGGATATGAATATAACGAAAACCTCCGAGCTAGTATGTATCTGCCCAAGTGAAGCCCGTGGTATAGCTAGTGAGGACGCTTATTAAACTTTTTACAAATACTTTTTTGTATCATGAAGAACAAATACAGACGGAGGAATAATTTATTTTTGTTCCAGTTTTAGGGTGTACTCATTTTACACTCAACTCTCAACCACTAGCCCACCTTCCCCTTCATGAATTTTCATAATTTCTTCACATATTGTACAACCCTAGTCCCCTAAACTTGCTGGGTTTGATTATTTTGAACAAGGTAAAGGTTCTGTTCTGTTCAGGGTGCCGCTGTATTAACACATTCATCTTGAACTAAAATGTCAAGTTAAATTTCTTTTTGCAGGAGTTATCTGCGAAGAGTATCTTCTCTGCCTAGAAATACTTATTGACAAATGGGGATTTATCAATTTTAGTAATTGTGAATTTGTTTGAAATCCTGAGAGGGCAGATTTTAATTGCAGATTTGGTCTTCATTCGAAAATGATTTTTTCCTTTTGTGATGACTCAGTTGATGACGTGTATGGTTTGGGATAATCACTGTCTGAGAAACTATGTTGCCAATGTCTCGAGTGTGTCTAGGAAAGTAGCTGTGTTCTATGTCTTACTATTTTCCATGATGACACATGCGCAGCCAAGATTTTTTTGTGTGTGTAAGATAAAGACTGCCATAGAAATAATAGGAAACAGACTATAAGTGAGATAAAAATTGTTATAGAGATGATAAGTCTTTCAGTACCAGAGTTGAATTACAACTTTGTAGGCTTTTACTCTGAACTAACAAAGCTTTTAAATCAGGATTTGCTATTATAATATTGAAAAATTATAGCAGGGGGGTTAGATTAAGAGGAATAAGGCAAAAAGATTTCAGTACATCAATGTTAGTAACGAGTGGGCATTAGATATGTTGTACCAGAACTTTAAAATTTTGTATTTAAATGAAGAAAAAAGTATGAAATATTTGTTTGAGGATTCTAAAGTTGATTGAAGAAAAATTCAGAAAGAGTGAATAACCTCTTTTACGTTTTGTATTAGAGAAAAATGGACTGAAAATGACTGGGAAAAAAACCCAATATCTTGTTTATCCTAAAAGATCAAAAAGGGAATGTATTCTATGATGAAATTCATAGTAAAATTACTCTTACCAGGTACAGAAATTATAGGAGAAGCAGAGGAATTGAGAACAAAAGTTATTTGAAATATTAATTTTTAATATACTAGATATTAAGTTAGTGATAATGTGTATGCTCACACTTGTGGAGGGGTTGTAAGACTAGGGGTTGTAAGCGCTAGAATTAATTCACAGTTACGTCTTCAGCTTCAGGCAAGAGTTGTGAGTTCTGAGTGGTTTCCAGAGAGTTGCTGCACAATCTGTCAAGGCTGGGCTAAGGGTATACTCAGGTAGGTAGGTATCAGCAAAGAACAATTACCAGGGCCCAGGAATGATGGAGGGCTGGTCTCTGGACCAGCTGTGAATGTGGGCTTGTCAAGGGTTGAGATGGAGACTAGAGAAAACCTGATGCAGAAGCTGGATCACAGTTTATGTTAATCACTTGGATTTTTTTCAGAAAATTTCATTATGCTAACAGTATTTCAGTACTGGGAGCATTTTTAACACTTTTATTATTTCCTCTATTTTCATGCCCATCACTCTTATATAATAGTGCTGAACCTTTAAGAATAATGGGTGCTTAATAAAAGCAAATGGATAGTGTTGCCCTGAAACCCTCTAGGCATTTATTCCAGAATTCTGGTGTTTTATTGTTTTAATATAGTATATACATTATTCCTTTCATTTTGCAAAGTGGTTTAGAAAAATTATTAGGCAAACTGGGGGAAAATAGGGTTGGTGTATAGCTCTTACAACCAGTGCAACTAACAAAATACTAACGATCCTAACAAAAATCATTGCAAAGTTTAACAAAAGTTTTAAACAATCCCCAATCGAGGAAATAATATAGCAAATATAGTACTTTAATTTCAAAGAAAGTGAAGGTGTTTGATGATAGGGGTGTAAGGAAATGTAGAAGCTGCCAAATTGTAAAAACGAAAAAAATGTAGAGGTGCTAGAAATTTTTATAGTGAGCACTTCAAAAAACACAGAAGAGGGCTAAACTGAGCCAGGAGCTGACTTGAAAAGTGAACGAACATCACACACAGTACAGTACTTGGTTCTGTTTGGCTTGATGGGAGCAAAAAGTTCACATCCTGTGGAAAAAAAATCACAGTTGAATCAGTGTAGTTTCTATGTTATTTGAAAATCATTCCTCTATTTCCTGATTGTGTATGAGGAATTAGCATTATTACAAAAACTTGCACTGTAACATAACAGATTGAAATTCTTTCCCTAAGACTAAAGTTGCTATATTATTATCAGTGGGGTTGGATATATTCATGGCAGGTGTCTGAAATAGTGATACTTTCCCAATTTTAATGGGTTTTCTACTTATGTTAGGATCTTGTTTTAAGTGAGTTTGAATCCAGTATTTGGGTGGGGTCTGAGAATCTGCTTTTCTAAAGTAGCTTCTGTGTAATTAATTCTAAAGCTTCTGGCATGTGGACCACATTTTTTGAAAATAGACATTGAGGGGGTTGGGGGTAGTATTCAGTTGATAGATTGCTTGCCTCTCATGCACAAGACCCTGGGTTCAATCTCCAGCACCACCACCACCAAAAAAAAAAAAAAAAAAAAAAGACTTTGGCACCATCTAGACCTCGGTTTGCATTATGGCTCTTTCATTAATTAGCTGCATGACCTTGTACAAGTTGTCCAAATTGCTGTGTTTTCTCATCTATAAAATCAGGCTAATTTTACCTATTAGTGCTGCAATGCTCATTACATGTGATAATGTATACAAAACATCTAGCTTAGTGTGTGGCACATTGTTTGAGCTCAGTTAATAATAGTTGTTATTTTAATATTATCGTGGTTACTGTTATTGGTGTTTGGACATCTACTTATTTTCCTTCATTATTTTTATTTTATCTTAAGTTCTATAGTAAAAGCTGAGAATTGCCTTGAAACATCTTTGCCTTTTTCTTTTGTTTGTCATGTGGCACCTGGCTTAAAGATGGTGTTGCTCTACCTCCTGTGCATCTAAGTGTGGTCAAGCAGATACATTTTATTTGCACATTTCTAAAAGATTTATGAAAAGAGCAGCTCATTCTCTCTTCCTGTTTGGAACATAGATGTGATAGCCTGTGCTCCAGCAGTTATCTTGGGACAATCAAAATAAAGGTTAAACCATGGATACAAAAGCAGTCAGATGGATAAGCCTAAGTCCATGAAAACTTTGTACAGTTGTCATTTAAGCCTTCAATTGCTTACTTTCAGACTTATTTTTTAATAAATGAGAAAGTCCTGTCTTGATATTATTTTTGTTGCACTTAATGGTGCAAGTACTTTACAAGATACAGGGGATACAAAAATTAATGTCCGATCTCTAATTTTTTTTTGTATTGAGGATTGAACCTAGAGGGCGTAACCACCAAGCAACACATCCCCAGGGCCCTTCCCCCCACCCCATTTGGGGGTACTGGGTATTGAACCCAGGGACACTCAACCATTGAGCCACATCCCCAGCCCTACTTTGTATTTTGTATGTAGAAACAGGGTCTCATTGAGTTGCTGAGCTCCTTGCTGTTGCTGAGGCTAGCTTTGAAGTTATGATCCTCCTGCCTCAGCCTCCTGAGCCTCTAGGATTACAGGCATGAGCCAACATGTGCGGCTTCCCCAGCCCTTTTGTATATTTTAATTTGAGACAGAGTCTTACTGAGTGGCTTAGGGCCTCGCTAAGTTGCTGAGGCTAGCTTCAAACTCACAATCCTCCTTCCTCAGCCTCCAAAGCTTCTGGGATTACTTGTGTCACCAAGCCCAGCTGATCTCTAAATTCAAGTAGTTCAATTATCCATATCTTTATCAGTTGTCTTCCATAGAGTACTGTTTTTATAATTTAGTTAGGGGGATTTTCTCTTCTATCAATTTCACTTTCAAGGATCCCTCTATTTTTGATCATGTTGGTAAGTCTCCTGCCAAATGTATTCTTCCAAGTTTTTGTGGTACATTCTATTCTTTAAAAATATAACATTTTAAACCAGAATGGGAAAATCAAGACCTGTAAAACAATACTTATATAGCCAACTTATCCAGTTTCTTTTACTTCCAGAGTCACTACCTTCACAGTGAAGAATTAAATTTGCAAGTTTAATCCCCAAATTTGCAGTTCCCCATTCTAGACTTCAGGCTACCTGATAATAGTCTATAGCCTTACCTTGAAGGCAGCATTTCACATCATCTGTAACAGTATTTAATGGATTTTATGAGTCCCGGAAGGCTCTATATTATGTCTTTCTCTAAGATACTACCTTTGATCCCAAATAGCTTGTTTCTTTAGTTATGTCAAGTTGATATAAGGAGGTCTCTACACAGCCCAGTAAAATTGTTTCTAGTGATTACCTTTTTCTCTTTAGCATACTGTTGAGCAGAGGT